TTTTCTAGAAAAATACAAACTACTTAATTTATTGCGTTAGCAATGTTCTCTCTATTTGGTATAACATTAACTCTAGAATTCTTACAATATCTCCTGAGTATTTTTTCAATTAAAAAATATTTGATGGAATCGTTATGAAATATTCAAAATTATTCATTAAATATTGCTTGTGAAATTTAAAACGGATGTTTTAAAATGTTACATTCTCACCATTAATAAAATGTTGCTATTACTACCTTATATAATTTATTTTTATCTTTGTCTTTTAATAAAATAATATGCACCTTTTAAGAAATAATGTGTTTTACACTTTAAAATGCTGCCGCAATTCACATCATATTTGCACATATGTTATATTGGTAAAGAATAAAGATATTTTGTGGTCTTTTCAAAGATAATTAAAATGGTGACTTTCATTATGACTGTTTTTTATGATGTAATGGATTTTATTTTTCCAGCCATTATCAACTTTATTTTAATTGTAAATTTTCCATCGATCCCCGAAAAAATCGAAAACCGTAGGACTCTATGGTATTTTCTGTAAGGTACATTATCCTCCACATAAATGATATATGGTGGACAAATAACTTTCTCTATTGCGCTAATTTAATTACAAGAGGCACCATCGCGTTTTAAGTAATAAAAATATGTATTTATCAAAAGGCTGAAATTGCTTTCGTTAATATTATCTTTTTTTAGCACTCGAAAACAATGCAGCTTTTTCACAATACATTTTGGCGTCTTTTTTCTTATCAAGGCACTGAACATCACGAGTAGAAAATAATTTTGAAATTTAAATGTTAGCCATATATACAAAACAATCTTTCCAATCTTTGAGCATAATAACGTTACTACTTAATGAATATTTAATTAAAAAACTAACGCACTGGAATGATATTGTCCCATATCACAGAAATGCTACAGATGCTTAGAAGCACCCACGCGGTTCTGAGACGATTGTTTTGTTATTCTACTATTGAGAATTAAGTAATTAAATCGCGAAGGTATTGTCATGCTGGCTACGCTAATTAAACTGCAGATTTTTATTAAAAATTTCCATTTGCTAATGCAATAGGAGATTTGATGTAATGTAATTTGTTTAAAGTTTACTATTTTTCTACTTTGTTTAAAAAATAGTTGCATAAAAAACTACGGTCTAGTGATAATAAAATAGAGATTTGCTGTTCCATTGACAAAAATTATGCTGTTCTTTATATTTTTATGTCAACAATTGTGCGTGTCAAATTTACCACGAATTAATATTAAGTGCAACTATTTGCGAAAATGAGAAATCGTATTTTCATCATTATTTAACAGTTTTTTGGACCAATGAATTTTGTGCAAACCCAAGGCACATACTGATGGCATAAATTGTAAACAACAATGCAGTAAATAGAGAGCATCTTACTAGATAAAATTAAGGTACTGACCAAAAGTGCGAAAATAAAACGGGACGCATTTCGTAAAAAACATTTGGATTTTCGCTTAGAGAAACGCGTTGTTAATAAAGTTCTGAACCTTCCTTGCCTCTTTATAAAATGCCAACCTTGTGGCTAATACATGAAATCTTTTTTATTTTTCTATTAAGTGTTATGTTACTTTTCAATTTCGATTTTACACTTCGACATTTATTATATTTTATATTAAAAAGTTTACTTTCTCTTTTAGTGTATATATTAAGCATTCAAAATTAACTTAATTAAAATTCCATTTCAATATTAAATATAAGATCCGATTTTAATTACAATTCAGAGGCGAGTATTGACCACGATATTCCCTACAGACAAAAATATATTACTATGCACTGGTTATTTACATGCAGTCTTTTGCGATCCAGCATACACCGGTACAAAAATAACATTCAAATAATACGAATCAACACTAAACGAAATCTGACACGTTACCAACGCATTCTAACGATCATACAAGTAATTCAAATGACGTACTACACACTAAAAACATTGTAAAAAATAAAATATGGCGAAAGGGAGAACCGTGATTATCCCTTTCCCTTTGCCTAAACATTAACGCGAAATACCTTATGGCAATTCTTATGGCGTACATTACATAATGGCACAAAAGTGTAGCTTTTCCTCGTATCGGTTCAAAGACTTGAAAACTGGAGCACTATAGCAACAAAAACAATTAATTTTTCAGCAGGCTACACTCGTTCGGTTGATATAAAAAATATAACTTTCGGGATACCAATACTTGCGTCATCGAGATATAAAAATAGAAATTTAAAAAATTATGAGATTAGTTCCAATATAAAATTTTCTTTTCGTAGTTATTGTCATTACAGTGCTCCCATAGTTTCCAGATACTGTTCTTTTTCATTCTCGAGTTTCTGGCACTGTGCATTGCTTATTTTATTCTTAACAATTATTTATATACGCATACTTCGATTAATACTTTTTGAGCGACCCTCTTATGAGTCATGGCAATTCTCTTTTGATCTCGTGCTTCGTGAGACTAGGAGCAATACGTACAACCGGTTCAACCGATCCTTTTTCGCACGCGCTACAATCTTATTTACTTTTTACATTTCTTTCTCACGGTTTTCGTTCGCTTTTATACTTTTTGCAACTATGAAACGCCTACGCACGTTAAATATTGTTCTTGAGAAGAGAGAGAGAGAGAGAGCATGAATACGATGAAACTAAAATTTAAAAAATTCTTTGATTCACATTTTGCAACTTGAATCAACCGTTAAAATGGAAATTTGTCAAAGATAAAATTTCATTTTTTTTAATTTATATATAATGTTCAAAATAGTCAGAAAAGATTCAGAAGACTATTAATAAATAATTACTAGCAACGTGTTTATGCATTTAGAATTTTTTAAATTCAATCAACATTGATGTCTAGCTGGACTGATCAATTAGTGTTGAATTTATTGGGCCACCACGAGTCCCATAAATGTATAAACATTTGCACTCTATTAGTCTTGATAAATATTTTGAACAGTATAGTTAAAAAATACAAATTCTTGTTAATATTAAATCAACACAACTAATCGATAATTTAAAACGACGATACAAGTTATGCGTTTCCTCGGATTGTACAGTGATTTATATGTTGCAAAAATAGCAGAGCCATTTATTTACCCTCGTCAGCCTCCTATTAGCATGATTCTGTGACTTCGCTGGTATGAATAGACTACACATGGAGAGTGCAAAGAAACTACAAAAATTCCAACTACAATTAACAGAATTTTTCTGAGTTCTAAATGTTTGGCTCTTCCCATCGTCTTATTTGTTAATATTTAGAAGGAGTAATTTTGCAATTAAGAGTCGGCTCTAAATAATTTGGATAAATACATATGGCATGTTTCGGCTGCTAAATCTGTAATTCACTACACAGAGTTTCTCTTGCTGTACCGGCTTCATTAGCTGGCAATGCACGCCGGTTTCAAGCTAGTAAAAAGTGGTCGTACCCCTTAAGGTTTTACGAGCCCGCTTTTACGGGGCCCCGGTGGCTCCCTTTCCCCCTCGCGTCTCATTCGCGCTGCTAATCTATACTCGCTGGGCCTTCTGTCCTCCAAAAATTTTAGGGCTGCTAAAATGCTCGTTTAATTTGCGCCTGCATGAATTTACGAAGTGAAGAGTGAGAGGATGCCTCGGAAATGTTCCATAAACCAGCTGCTATACTCGTGGCTAATTAATAATGCTTCAAGGATGGTCAGATAAATTATAGAATGTAACTAGATGGTTACCAGGTAGCTTCAACTCTATAAGATGCTTCTATCTTCCACACAAGTTACCACGTTCAGCATCAACAAGCATTTTGGGGTTGAAACGAATTTTAATTCATGGCCCGACTTGGCACAGATTCTACAGTGATTTCTTGCTTTTCAAGTACTATTGCCACAATAAATGTAAGGTGTGGGGCAAGTTTAGATTGCGAGGTTCACACTCCAGCTAAAATCATTGAATGTTTTCACCAGCAATCGAACATTGTCAGTTTGAAAAAAGCCCTGAGAGATTTAATAATCCTTAATAACCCTATACTGACGACTTTCAAATTAACATTCGTTTCGGTCCTAAACTATTTGGAGGCAGAAGTTTGGCGAACGTTCGACCTTGAGAAAGAGGAGAATCTTAAAAGGAATCTAAAGAACGCATTTATAATACAATATGTTGAAGAATTGAGGTGCTCCAGAGTTCATAATCTTCTGAGATTCCGTTTGCTCTGCCTAGAGCCGACTATCAGGCGTTTGCTCCTCTTGGTTGGTGTGGCTAGCAAGGGTGTTCTGCAGGGGCCAGTGTGCGGCCTTGATGAGCAGGAGGTGCAAAATTCCATCAAGCAGCCTTGCCTCGAACACGTTCCCACGTTCTTCTCGTCGTTTACGTGACAAGGGAATGAACACTTTGGACAGGGCAACAGGTGCTCCCAGGGCTCCAACGTGCGACTAGCCTGAAATTAAAGGGATAATAATTAATATATATAATTTTTAATTAATATTTATAATTTTTTAATATTAATAATTAATATATATAACCTTCTTCTATATTCAATGAATATATTGGTTTAAGCTTGGCCAAAGAACTTGTAAAATTTTTGATAAAAACTTAACGTAAATTTGTGCTTGATCTGACAAAGAATGATTACACCTAGTAACAAGCTAATTGAGCTAATTCATGAACAGAGATCAATGTAAAATGTTCTCATACTTGGATAAAGCATTTTATGATTATAAATATATTATTTGAATATAATAATATAATGAAATATAATAAATAATATAATAAAATATAAATTATATAATAATATAATATATTATTTGAATTTTTTCTTGGCGAATGAAATATATTTTCGGTCGGTAAACACAGTACTTTCTTAGCTCATGCGGTAACACGTTGGCAGAAGCGGTCGCTAGAGTAGATGCATTTGTTGCCGACGGATGGGCTGCCGATAAGATAGACGCTAAATTCAAATTTAAACAGTGGTTTCACGTGTACAACACATCTTACTTGCTATCGCTTTTCTATCTCAAGAGAGATACCAGGATGACCCGCGTCGAAATACTTTGAAAACCAATTGTCCAACGGTAAAATACACGTTAAAGCGAGAGAAAAATTGTTTAAAAATTGCCCGCGCGTCTCATAGAAAACATTTTAAAGGAATAATCTTAATTACAGATATCCACAAACGTTGTGTTCTCGCTTGCTGAAGATAAAAATATATTGCAGGCGCCAAGGGAAACGCGTGGAAATCCTATTATAGAGGTTGGAAACCGCTTAGGTCGGTTATCAATGACCCGAACCTGTCGGCTCGAAGATAATGCAGCTAGTTGCGCTGGTGCACAGGTAATCGTTGAAATGGAAACGTAATTAGTAAACAAGCCGATACAATCACAGTTCTCGAGTCCTTTTGTGCGGGCAATAATTAATCGTATTAGTGACGTCGGGTTGCACCTGTTCACGTCAGAGTGACTTATTGCGGTATAACGCGAGGTGAAAGGAGCGTCGAGCCGAACACCAACATAAAGGATTACATGTGGATTCACCTGCTTGCATACATATGCATTTTAGGGCGCGCGATCAGAAACGCAAAAATTAATTGTTAACATTATAGTACCGGGTATAGGTAATACATCTTTAGATAATATTATTATTGTAGTAATATAATATAATATAATACAATATAATATAATATAATATAATATAATATAATAAAATAATATAATAAAGCTGTATTATCTATATGTTATATATATATATTTTAGAAATGCGCGTTCACCGCTTTCCGTTGCCTTTTGTGATTTTTCAAAATTTCTTGAATTTTCTATTTTTCTATTTCTTGTATTATTTTTTTTATTTTTCTGTTTCTATTTCTTGTATGTTATATATATAACATATAGATAATACAGCTTTATTATATTACTTTATTATATTATATTATATTACTACAATTCTTCCGTTCGAATAAAATTACAATTTCTTTTCCAATCGAATGATTTCTAAAAATCCAAGAAATTTCGAAAAATCTCAAAAGGCAACGGAAAGCGGTGGACGCGTTTCTAAAATTGTTGATAAAGATGTGCGTACGAGAACTGTTAATGGATGAATAACCATCGGAAAGCCAAGGTGGCGAGTTATTGAAGGTATTCGCGAATGGAAACATAGCGTCACGAACAAAGGGCAATGTTGTCTCGGCGTGTTGCTTGGAGCATCTGTCGTGCATTGGTAATTAGTACGTCGGCGAGCGCGTGAGAAAATTTCACCGATCAGAAATGTGCAAAGTGAAAATATCCTCCTGCGCCTGTGCAGGAGAGAGAGTATTCAAAACAATCGTCGAGAATACATGAGAATTGAAACGAATTATCGCAAAACTATTTCTAGCAACGAGATAAAATAACATTAGCTCTCTAATGTTGGCAATAATAAAAATAATATTAATTTTCTGTTTACATACATAATAATAATAATGATGATACTATTACCCAAAACGCACGACAATATGTTATTTACCATCGGAACTAAACAAACGTTGAGAAATTAACGTTCAGCAAATTGAATACGGTTTTTGTGATTTCAATCGAATTGAATACGGTCGAAGGTTGATAATCCTGTTTGATAGCGAGCCGAACAAAATTGAGCACGCTTTCGGCCACGAATAATTTACGGCGGTGTCACCGAGGTCCTTGTGCCTAGCAACCGAGTGAATTCCGAAAGAAAACGTTGAAACGTTGGCGCTATGACTTCTGGCGGGAAAGGTGGGCCTCGTGGCTCCTAACAGACATATGGACACGCATGATCTTATCTTCTATGCTCTCTGCTTTCGTTCCCTGTAGACACGATCTATTTAATTACCCTATCTAACTATCTATTAAACATCGAATCATTGAATAACCGAAAATAATAATAAATATACGTTACACAATTAGCGTCCGCAAGTGCTCTAGTTGGTAACTATCTCGGCTACTTCCGCTGGTTATCACGCCTCTGTATTTAATCACGGAAGTTGCGGAGCATTAGGAAGCGGGCACATTAATTTTCTAATTAGCATTGTCGACTCAGTAATATTGCATTCAATTGAAAATGAACTTACGTGTTAATAATATTTACTCGGAACAGTTCATCCTCGATATAATTCCCGTTTTATTTCATTTTCAACATTGTTGTACAATGTATGAAGTTTTGCAACAATGTTGGTAATTAAATTGAATGGGAATTGTATCGAATAAATATGTAATAATTAATATATATTATATTATATATTAATATAATAATATTAATAATATATTATAAATATTATAATATTATATTAATATAATAATATTAATAATATATTATAAATATTATAATATTAATAATATATTATAAATATTATAATATTATATTATAATATATATATTATATAAATGTGTATAATTCCGTATAAATATGATTTCACTGTTACCAAAAAGAAGTTCCTATTTTATACGCTTTGTGGCGCGTTCCAGCGAGAACGGTGTACTTCACCGAAGAATTTCCGAAAACCGGAAAAGGTAAATATCCCGATATCGACGTTTTATCTTCACTTTGTTAACGTGCGGGATTTCCATATCTGGTCCGGTGCACATCTATCACAAAGTAGCGATACGAAAGCGTCCCGCGCGTATCGCATGGACACATCTGTACGTCACGTTTCGACGAAAAAAACGCTAACAAAGAACGGTCACATGCCAGCATAAGGATACTTTTCATTCGTGGCTCAACTTTGTAAACGCGGTTCGAGCCGGTCCAGCATCTTTATCTGGGTTCACCGAAGTTTTCGGGGCGGTCCCTCTGTAACATTGTGCCGGTCCCTTCCCGATTCACGTGCGTTTATCTGCAACCTGGCCCGAAACCGAGGCCCGCAGTCAATCATTAAAGACGGCGGTTCGTTTTCAGTTGGAATGTCCGGTCGATATTAATGTTTTTGAATCTCGTGTTGCTACATTGTGTTTCGTTACGCCTACTGACCATTTTTTTTTTCTAACGTCCCTCGGGACACGGTCTATCCGAGAAAAATATCGTTCTTTGCGCAAGTATCAAGATTGTTTACTGTCGCGGTTTTTTAAAGAAGCAACTTTTTTAAGCAAAAGTATATATAGTAGGAAAAATAATAAGAGCTAGAATAACGAAAAAATAATGAGTTCAATAGCAGGAAAATTAATTTAGTTTTAACAAGAAAATTAACAAGAAGAATGATAAAAGAAATGAACAGGGAAAATATATATATTTATATATATATATAACACGAGAAATATAATAGGAAGATTAATCGGTGAGATAGCAGTGACAGTCATAAGAAAATTGCCCAGGAAAACAACAAGAAAATTAAGAAAGAAACAATAAGAAAATTAATAATAAGAAAATTGCCCAGGAAAATAACAAGAAAATTAAGAAAGAAACAATAAGAAAATTAACTAGAGGACAATGACAGAAAAATCGGTCGGTAAAATAACGGAAACAACAATGTGAAAACAATAAAAAAAACAGGAAAAAAAGAAAGAAATGGTATATTGGAGAAAGATAAAGGAAAATTATTAAGGAAGTTATTTATTGGTTCCGAGGTTTTTACGAACTGCGAAGGTGATGTAAGATGACAGCACGTTAATTAAGAATATCGAACTTCAGATAATGGTCCTCTTCGCGATAATAGCCGAAGAAGAAGTCTCGTCTTCGACGCGGGAAGTCCGTTAGGGCAGACACGAGATAATATTGTGGGCCCCCGGTTGCGACATAGCCGTTTTTCTCTCTGTATTTGTACTAGGATGTATGTTTCACAGGCGCAATGTTGCCCTAGCCCCAGCTGCTACATTGTGAGGGAAAGGGACCGGGCAACATAATTTTTCAACGATTCTGAATAGCTACGTTGCCACGGACGGCTCGCATTTGAAAACGACCGTTGTCTTCGGAAATGCTACTAAATTTTCTACCTCCCTGGCCCTCGGTTTTTTTTCTCGGGGATATCTGTGCCCCCGACAATCGTGGAAACACACATGTTGAAATCCCAGTAATTTTTGATTTCGAAATGTAGGGAGAATAGACAGTTTTTATTTATTCTTAAGCCGGGAATTAAAATTGGTAATTTCTGTTTTTAATTCAGGTATTGAATTGAACCGAGTCGTTTTTATTCATTTTTAGTCTTGATTCGCAATTAGCAAATTTTTATGCATTTTAGTTTTGAGAATTAAATTTAGCCATTTTTATGCATTTTAGTTTTGAAAATTAAATTTAGCCATTTTTATGCATTTTAGTTTTGAGAATTAAATTTAGCCATTTTGATTTATTTTTTTGTCTTGGATTAAAATTGTATGTTACACGTTGTCCATGTTCTTGCAAACGTTTTAATTGCCAATTTATGCAAGACATTTTTCCCTGTCCATTTTTGTAAAGCTGTGTTTTCTGTCCAACATAAACGTTCCACAGATTTTATTAATAGAG